AGTGGTCCCAATACCGATCCCTGGGGGACACCTCCTTCCATTGCAAGAAACACCCATTAACCACCACCCTCTGCTTTCTGTCACTCAGTCAGTTCCTAATCCAAACGGCTACTGTCCCCTTAATACCGTGGGCCTCTAATTTTTGTATTAATCTCTTATGCGGTACTGTGTCAAAAGCCTTTTTGAAATCCATGTAAATAATGTCCACCGCATTTCCCTCATCAACCCTCACAGTCACCTCTTCAAAAAATTCTATTAGATTTGTTAGGCAAGATTTGCCTTTAACAAATCCATGTTGGGGGTCTCTAATTACCTCGTGTTCCTCTAAGTAGAGATTTATTCTGTCCCGGAGCTTTCCTATTACCGAAGTTAGGCTGACTGGCCTATAATTTCTGGGGTTGTCTTTCTGCCCCTTTTTGTAGAGTGGAGTAACATTAGCCACTCTCCAGGCTCTTGGCACCACTCCTGTGTCCAATGACGATTGAAATATAATGGCCAAAGCCTCCGCTATTTGAACCTGTATCTCCCACAGCAACCTTGGGTGAAACCCATCTGGTCCCGGTGACTTATCAATTTTGAGCCGAGTCAATCTTTTCAGAACTTCCTCTCTGTCTATAATAATCTGATCTATGTCCTCTACCCTCTCACCTGCGGCATTTGGGGCATCCGTTTCCGTTGTGAAGACAGATGCAAAGTACTCGTTTAGTACATCAGCCATCCCTCTGCCGCCACAACAAGATGGCCGTCATTGCCTTTGATTGGCCCCACCCTACCTTTAACTAACCTTTTTTCCTTTATGTGCTTATAAAATATTTTAGGATTCCCCTTTATGTTACCCGCTGACCTCTTCTCATGCGATCTTTTAGCCTGTCTTATCGCTCTTTTAAGATCACTCCTGCATTCTCTATAATGCGCTTTGCTATCCTCAGTATCTTGCGTCTTCCAATTGTCGTACGCCGTCTTCTTCTTTTTCATCCAAGACAGAATATCTCTGGTCATCCAGGCTGGCTTGGTTGTCGCATATTTCCCTTTTGTGGGAATATATCTATTTAGAAAGAAAGATTGTCAGGTAAGACAGCAAATGAACAATGGGAAGCCTTCAAGGAGGTGATAGTTTGGGGACAGAGCAAATACATTTCCACAAAGGGGAAAGGTAGGACAATCACACCTCCCTGGATGACTAAGGAAATGGGGTTAAAATAAAACAGAAAAAAGAGGCTTATGTTAAATGACAGGTCCAAAACATACAGGATAATCTAAGAGAATATAAGAAGTACAGAGGAGAAGTGAAAAGGCAAATAAGAAGAGCGAAGAGATTGTATGAGAAAAGATTAGCAGGAAACATAAAAGAGTACCAGTCTCTAATCGGTGCTCAACATTAGCTATCGAGAGCGTGGAAGCCTCTTGTGGGGACAGCAGTGTATCAGTGTATTTCCAATCTATGTTGGCCAGGTCCCTTTTTAGCTCACTGAAATTATCCCGCTTCCAGTTGAAGGTCTTTACCTTTGATTGATTGTTGTCCTTTACCATAACTGTTCTAAACCTAATGTCATTGTGATCACTGTTATCCAGATGCTCTCCTACTGAAACCTGCTCCACTTGCCGCACTTCATTTCCCAGAACTAAATCCAGCACTGCTTCCTTCCTTGTTGAGCTGGAAACATGCTGATCCAGAATGTTCTCCTGCACACATTTCAGGAATTCCTCCCCTTCCTTGCCCTTTACTCTGTGTGTCTCCCAGTCAGTGTGAGGATAATTGAAATCCCCCATTATCACTACTCTATTGGTTTTGCATCTCTCCGAAATCTGCTGCAGATTTGCTCATCTATCTCCTTCCCACTATCAGGAGATCTATCGTAAATACCTAACAGAGTAACAGCTCTTTTTCGGCTCCGTAACTCTAACCAAATAGATTCAGTTTTTGGACCCTCAAACACATCGTCCTTTTCCAGGACCATGCGAGTCCCTGATGAGTATTGCCACCCCTTCTCCTTTTTTCCCTTCCCGGTCCCTCCTGAATAGGTTGTAGCCAGGAATATTGAGCTCCCATTCCTTTCCTTGCTTGAGCCAAATCTCTGTAATTGCCACTGCATCATAGCCCCATGTGGCAACTTGAGCCACAGGTCACCAATCTTACTGGTCACTCTCTGTGCATTTACACACATGCACTCCCAAACTTTTGATATTCTGCCTGTAGGGTCTCAGCCCTTTTATCACCTATATCATATGTCAGAGAGAGCACTAATTACTGATTTACAATATTCAACCTTCATTAGAAAATCTCTCTCTGGATTTGTATGCCCAGAGACCCAAATAACTGCAAAGCTCAACAGCAGAGCCATGAGCCACAAATAATCAGCATGAACAGCTGGGCTGCCTCTGTCGGTAGAGCTCCCAGGCTTTAATAACAGGGTTTTGGGTTCCAGCGCCACGTTTGGTGCAATGTTTCAAGCTGTTTTTTCCCAGTTTCTCGTTTGATTATGTTTCGGTTGTTCACTGAGAGCGATTATTTCCTTATCAATTGTGAGCAGGTGTTTGTTTCAGTCTGGAAACCATAGTCATGCCTGTCTCGCATGCACAAAGTTCCAGATTCACTGCCCGAAGGCAAACACGCCCACGTAGCTTGTAGCAAGAAAATAAATAACATTGTTTAACATTAAATACTGTTGATGATGAGAACTTGTCTTTGACCACATTATAAACACATTATTAATACTGACATAAAATCGGACTGGACAAACGCTGACTATTGTCAGTCTCGCTCAGCTGATAAAACATCACACAACTTCACCCCAAAGTCATGTTCTTGAAATGACCTGTACAATTGTAACTTTGATTTTATAGGTAACTGTATTTCTGTGGTGTTATCGTCATCACTCTGGACTTTGAACCCAGTGATCAAATTGTGTTGGCAACCCCACTAGTTCTTTTGTTTACACAAACAATCCAGCAACTCAGTATTTGTCAAGACACAGAAAATTTTGCAATCATGTTTGAAGTCCTGTAGCTTTGCAAGTGAGAGACCTGAGTTCAATTCCAGGCAGAGGGCGAAACCTTGGGCAAGTTTCCTTACTCCACACAGAGCCTAATAATATTCCCTCCAAAACCAAAAACAATAATAAATTGGTCATTTTCAATCCACAACTGTTTGTGGGACATTTCTGTGTGCAATTGGCTGCCGCGTTCGCCCACAAATATACAGTCAATTCACTTTACAGTGTGTTCTGTGAAGCGCTTTGGGACGTCCTCCCGACGTGAAAAGCGCTATATCAAATGCAAGGATTATTATTATCATTAAAGCCTTCCAATGTGAAAAGCGCTATATACGTATAAATCTGCATTGTATTTTATCTACCAGAAAGTTCTTTGGTAGTTATCGTGTTCTCGTCTGGTATGAGAGGTGTCATGTTTCAAACTGAGCAAATGTGTGATTCCATTGCCTTAAGTAAAATGTTATACTTGATAAATTTTAAATTGCTTTATCTCACAGTTAAATCAGAGGTTTAGAAAAAGGCTCAGTATTTTTTCAGATTTTTCATCTGTTTCAATGCTAATGTTTCACTAAACCCAATTACAACATTTTTTTTGACCAAATTTCATCACCATTTATTTTAGGATTTGCTTCCTCATCAACAAGAGATCTCTCTGGATCTGCGTGACATACAGGCACTAAACTGCCCTGACTGGCAAACAAACAAACAGGGAGATGATTCCTAAATACGTCCTCCATACTCTCATTTGTAGGTTCGACTGAAAGTTTGACTCCTAATTTTAACTAATTTGAAATGTGATATTCACACCGCTATATACCGGAGGATTCGGGAGTCAAGGAGGAGGCCAGACCCAGAGGAACATAGGCAAAGGGCACTGTTTTGAGGAGAGAGGAGGTCAGAGAGGTCGGGGGGTGCAGAGGAGTGGAGGGATTTCAAGACAAGGATGAGGATCATGAAGTGGATCCTCTCTGGGACAGGAGCCAGTGCAGTCTGGCCAGGACTGGGGGGAATCGGGGAGTTTGGTGCGGGTGAGAATGCGGGCGGCAGAATTTTGAATGATCTGGATTTTATGGATGGTAGTGGATGGGAGACCGGTGAGGAGGGCGTTAGAGTCGTCCAGCCGAGAGGTGACAAAGGCCTGGACCAGGGTTTCAGCAGCTTTTGGGTAGAGGTATTGGCAGAGATGGGCAATGCCTCGGAGGTGGAAGAAGGCGGTGCTGGTGAGGGACCGGATGTGGGGGAGGAAGGATAATTGGAAGTCGAACCTGATGCCTAGGTTGCATATGGGTTCGGAGAGTTTTAAGGGGAGGTCGGGTAGGTGAGAACCGTGAGATTTTAGATGTTGATGAGAGCCAAAGAGTATGGCTTCCGTCTTGTCAACGTTCAGCTGAAGGAAGTTTGCGCTCATCCAGCCCCTGAGATCTGACAGGCAGAACATCAGGGGACTGGGGGTCACAAAGAGAGGTAGAAAAATAGAGTTGGGTGTCATCCACATACATGTGGAAATGTACCCCATGTCTACGGATGACATCCCCCAGAGGGAGCATGTCATGCAATCTCATTTCACGGCTGAAGATTGTCTCAAAGGATAGACACGGGCTTGATGGGATGAATGCCTTGTAGATTTCTATGTTTCTATGTTTAGATCTTGGGGGGATGATCACATTTATTTTCACAAAACTAAAATATTGCAGGCGACCAGCAAAGCTGCCAATTCACCGACAATCACAGACTTTGTGGCTCTGGAATTCTGTGGCTCCGACAGGTTATTGCAGGTTGGGATGAGCTCAACATGTTTGTGGATTGCAATATTGGAATTGATTGAAATGTCGAATTCGAATTGAATTAAACATTTCCCCTTAAAATATAGTCACTACTCTTTAAAGCAGACCACAATAATCTTTTTGAGATGTCTGCCTAAGTGGAAAACGTTGTCATCAAATGTAATTGATAACACTGCAGGACATTTTCTTTCCCTGAAGATAAGATGACAGTTGTGTAATCCATGGTACTGTGGCTTAGTTGCTGAAAGCGCTTGTCTTATAAACAGGAGATCCTGGGTTTAAATCCCAGCGGTGCCTCTTCTGCTGAATCTTTCAAAACAATAACTCCATAATTTGGAAATGTGTCTTCAGCAATTTGTTAATCTTCAGGGATTTTTTGTAATGCAATTGTTAACCTTGGAGATGAGCTTCAGCCCTCTGCAATGCTGAAGTTTGCTAGATTGGCTGAGATGTTAAACCAAGGCCATGGCTGCCTGTTCAGGTGGACATTTGTGTTGTTGGTGGGACACTGCAGCGCGCAACTTGCCTGCTCAGTTCGCTCACAAAAGGCAGTCACTCCATGTTATAATATATTCTGTAAAGCTCTTTGGACCCTTGTTGAAGGCTCTATACCAAATGCAAGGATTAATTAGTTTTGTTCCTTGGTTGCATGCTAGAAAGATATTGATATCATCGAAGAATACGATTTACAGCTCGTGCAATTGATTTACTGTGGATGATAGATACAGGATGGGTATTGATGTATTGATAAAATTCTGCCTCATTTTTAAAGCCGTGACATCTGTAATTAATAATTTATTTTAAGAGATTGAAGCTCTACTTCCCCAGCAGGCTTGAGGCTTGAAATTTCTTGTGATTGCAGATAGGAAAACTATTCTGAATTAAGGTGAAATTACTGTGATATATTTTTGTTTGATGACTACCTCTTGTTATTTCCAGTATGCAGGTTTGTTATTTTGTTTTGATGTCTGTTGTACATCCATGGGTGCTCACGGTTCTGCTGCCCATATGTAACACACAACACCTTAACCTGGAGTCAGACACCATTATTCTTTGAGACTCAAGTGAACAAAGCAGGTGAACACATCAGATAAAATCAGAAAAATACAGTTGTACATCGGCTTGTTAAGTTGGTGTGTTTTAGGCAGTTGAGCAACACCATTACACCATGGAGCCTGTGGCTCAAACCCAATATTATCATATTCATTTGAAGACTCAATGTCTAGAAATAACAATTCTGCGCACATGATTTAAATGAAGAAATACTCAGAAGAGTCACAACGTTATATATCCCAAATGGCCAAAGGCTCTCATGACAGGACTTACTTAGGCTGTGAGTTAAAGTCAAACTGAAGGAAAAAAAAGCTGAAACCCGGGATTGAACCAGGGACCTTTAAACCTTCAGTCTAACGCTTTTCCAGCTGAGCTATTTCAGCTCTTGTAAAATTGAGTATTTCCTCTTGTTTTCAAAAACTGCACAAACTTTGTTTTCCAAAGAAACTCCTTTTAGTTTCTGGTCGCTCCTCTTGGGGACTTTATAACAACTCTATACTGACAAAAATGCACTTATATGCGATTCTTGCAGATTGAAATGAACTCCTTCAAAGGGATTCATCACAGATGCTTCGGAGCTCAGAATGTCGTCCTTGAACACAGATTTAGAATGACCAAGATCACAAGGTTAGTTTGGATAAAGAAGCCCTTTGGGCCCATCCGATTTCATCCCTCCAGAACACCGTCGCCTATCTTTGCATCAAACAGCTTTGAAATCTAGTCTGGTGTCCTGGTCTCTACCACCTTTCCTGACAGTCTGTTCAAGTCTTTGATTACCCTCTGCATAGAGAAAAGCTTCCAAATATCTGTCCTGAAATTGCACTTTACAGCTGTAAACATATGTCATCTTTCTTTACTGCATTATATAATAATAATCCTTGCATTTGATATGGCACCTTATCATGTTTTCGAGACATCTCAAAACCCTTCACAGAATTGACTGTATATTTTGTAGGTGAAACGTGACAACGAATTGCGCACAGCAGCGTTCCACAAACATAATGGATTAAGTGACCAAATTCATTGCTTTGTGTATTCTTACATCCTAAAATACTAATCTGGTTGTATCTTTTCAATTCCATTGTAAATTCTCTTGATTTCGAAAAACGCCCAAATTTTGTTTTCTAAAGAAATTTTTTTTTATCATCTGGTCGCTTCTTTTGGGGACTTGATAAGAACACTATACTGACAACAGCTTACAGTTATATCTGGCCCTTTCAGGTTTGCGGGATGTCTTAAAGGGATTCATCACAGATGTTTGGAAGCAAAGAATGTAATCTTTCAGGCGGGTTTTGAAAACAGCCTCAAAATCTAAATCTAAATCAATCCCTCTCCCCCGCTCACTCTCCCCATAGGCCTGCAAACTTTTCCTCCCCAAATAATTATCTACTTCTCTCTTAATAGTTGTTATCAAATTGGCTTCCACCACCATTTCAGGCAATGCATTCCAGAGACCAACAACTCGCTGTGTAAAAAAAGTCTCCTCACCTCCCCTTTGTTTCTTGTAACAAATATTTTAAATCAGTGACCTTGAGTTACTGACCCAACCGCCAGTGGAAATAGTCTTTCCCTTTTTCGCCCTATCGAATCCCCTCATAATTTTGAAAACATCTGTTAAGTCTCCTCTTAACCTTCGTAGCTCCAATGGGAATAATCCCAGCTGCTCTAGCCTCTCCTGATAACTGAAATCCCTATTTTCAGGACCAACCGGGGATAACCAAGACCACAAGAAGACTTTTGGGCCCATCTGATCTCATTAATTTGAAACACATAGCTCACCATCATCTATCACTGTATCAACCTGCTTAGTCCAGTGTCCTGGTCTCTACCATATTTCCTGGTGCCTGCTCAAGTTTCTGATTGCCCTCTGCATAGTGAAACACTTCTTGGAATCTGTTCTGAAATTACATTTCACAGCTCTAAAGATATGTCGTCTTGCTTTATTGTCTTGCCAGATCCTAAGTTACTAATCTGGTCATACCTTTTCGATGCCATTTAACATTTGATATAACTCTCTGAAGCTCAGATGTTGTTTTCTCTCAATACAGAACAACCCTAGCTTGTCTAATCATTGCTCTCATTCCGTCAACATTGTGGATCATGCTTGTTGCTGTCCTCTCCAACACCTTAAGGGTTTGGCAGATAAATTATGTCCATTGACCGGAACTGTAAGCAGGTGTGGGAGGCAGAGTTTCATTTTATGGACCACTGGCACCAGTATTGGGGAAGGAGGGAGCTCTTCCATCGGGATGGGTTCCACTTAAAGTGGGCTGGGACCAGTGTCCTGGCAAAATGAATAATTAGGGAGGTTGATAGAGCATTAAACTAATAAAGGTGGGAGGGAGGGTTACAGTTAAATGTAAACTCACAAAACAAATAAGAAACGTCAAGGCTGTAAAGCAAAGCAGCGACTTGGGAGATGAAGAACAGAGTTGTAAAGTAGGGATAAAGAGTTTAACAAAGAAAATAGGACATTAATGAGTAGGGGAAATAGTAAAAAATTAAAGCTACTATACCTGAATGCATGGAGAATACATAACAAGATAAATGAATTAATGGCACAAATAGAGATAAATGGGTACGATCTAGTAGCCATTACTGAAATGTGATTACAGGGAGACCAGGTTGGGAGCTAAACATTCCAGGGTACCTGAGGTATATAAAGATGGCCAATGGGAAACAAGGTGTGAGGAGGCGGGGAGCCCTGTTAATAAAGGATGAGATAAAAACAGAAAAGAGGAAGGATCTTAAGTCAGCAATGAGGATGTGGATACAGTATGGGTGGAGCTAAGAAACAACAAGGTGCAGAAAACACCTAAAAAGTAATTTTAATCTTCACTTAGACTGGGAAAACCAAATTGGCAAAGCTAAATCAAAGGATGAGTTTATGGAATGCATTAGAAATAGTTTTCTAGAACAGTATGCTAAGGAACCAACCAGGGAACAGGTTATCCTAGATCTTGTGGAGTCCTGTAACTCAGTGGTTAGGGCACTCGCTTTGCAAGCGAGAGACCTGAGTTCAATTCCAGGCAGAGGGTGAAACCTTGGGCAAGTTTCCTTACTCCACACAGAGCCTCATAATAATCCCTCCAAAACCAAAAACAATAATAAATTGGTCATTTTCAATCCACGACTGTTTGTGGGACATTGCTGTGCGCAATTGGCTGCCGCGTTCGCCCTCAAATATGCAGTCAATTCACTTTACAGTGTGTTCTGTGAAGCGCTTTGGGACGTCCTCCCGACGTGAAAAGCACTATATCAAATGCAAGGATTATTATTATTATTATTATTATTATCTTGTGTTGTGTAACAAAGCAGGTCTAATCAGTAATCTTGAAGTTAAGGCTCCTCTAGGGCAGAGTGATCATAATCAGATGGAAATTAATATTAAATTTGAGAGTGATGTAGTTAAGTCTGAAAACAAAGGTCTTAAACTTAAATAAAGCCAACTTTGCAGGTATTAGGGACGATTTGGCTAAGATAGTCTAGGAAATTAGATTAAAAATATGATGGTAGACAAGCAATGGCAAACGTTCAAAGACATATCAGATAACTCCCAGCGAAACATTTTCCCTTGAGAAATAAAAATTCCAAAGGAAAAGTTGTTCAACCATGGCTAACCAGAGAAATTAAGGAAAGTATAAATTAAAAGAAGAGGTCTATAATACTGCAAAAAGAGCTGTAAAGCTGAGGATTGGGAGGGCTTTAGAGATCATCAAACGATAACCAAGACACTTATTAAGAGGGAGAAAATGGGATATCAGAGTAAACTAGCTAGAGATATAAAGATAGATCGTAAGAGCTTTTGCAGGTGTGTTAAAAAGTAAATGTGAGTCCCTTACAGGCAAAGACAGGAGAAATTATAAAGAAATAGCTGAGTCACTAAACAAATATTTTGCTTCTGTCTTCATGTTAGAAGATTTTAAAAACTTATCAAAAATAGTGGGGAACCAAGAGATTAATGTTAGTGAGGAACTTAAAGAAGTTAATATCAATGTGGTAATAGTCCTAGAGAAAATGATGGGACTAAAAACTGATAAATCTCCTGGATCTGATGGCCTGTATCCTTGGGTTTTAAAAGAGATGGCTTCATAGATAGTGGATGCATTGTTTGTGATATTCCAAAATTCTCTGGATTCTGGAACGGTTCCCATTGATCGCAAACATAACACTACTGTTTAAGAAGGGTGGGAGAGAAAGACAAAAGACAATATGTGCACTCAGTATTTAGTTGCATTCTTAAAATGATTGTTTCTAACAGAGCAGAAGTGGAAGAGCCATTGTTAACCCACATCAAAAATCAAACCACTGTTTTTCATAAGAAATGAAACTACAAAGATATTGTTCAGCCTTGTTACAAACCATATTTTGCTATTCACATATCTACATTCTTTACCTAATATCCCCACATCTAACTGATGATGGACATGTGGCCAGTTATAAAGAGACAGGCCTACTACGTGGAGACCAGGCCTATTATACAGATATCAGGCTTGTTATACAGACACCAGGACTATTATAAAGAGCCAGTATTTCAGTGACCCTGGTGCTCTCTGTCAAATCGTTGGTTGGTTAATGCTTCCAGAAACAAGGTTACCAAGTGAGGCTTCTCTCAGCCAACACTCTTAAAGCAGTATCAAATCATTTAACATGGCTTAAAGCTCTTGACACTGCTGTCTGGGTATCGAGCTGGACTTTGGAATGATCATCTTAAATTAGATCAAAGAGGAATGAATTCATATGGATTTTGAACGAGGTGAGCGAGGGGACCATTTGGAGGGAATCAAATACAGATTAGCAATCAATACAGATTGAAAACATTCTGAGTGAACAAAGGCAATATGATTGATGAGGAACCCGAATAGCTCAGTTGGTAGAGAATCAGACTTTTAAAACAGTGACGGCAATCTGAGGGTCCAAGTTTCAAGACCCTGTTTGGGCGTTACATTTTTTTGGAGAGGGGAAAGGGGGGTAACTACATTGAAGTGGCGATTCCCGATATCAATCATGTTTAAGTATGACATTAATATCATAAATTTTATCGCACAACATTTTCTTGGTTCCACCGTAAACTTGAGCAAGGCACCATCTGATTAAATGTTATCAGAAAAAAAATGATGATTTAATGCAATGAAACTGCAGTGAAACTTGTCTAGCATGGAGGCAAATCCCACATTCATTGGTGGTTGTTGTAACTGATATTCAATCTGTGATTGTTTTCATGACAACTCAACATCAAACAATCACATAATTAAATTCAGCATCCTTATTCTCATCTTCAAATGCCCTCACTGCCTTACCTTGCCTTACCTACTCCATCTCCTTCAACCCCTCCAACCCAGCCAAAACCTTGGCTCAACAAAAGATGGCATGCTTCATATCCCCAATCCCCTTCAATAGTCCACTCCCCCGCGGCCCCCACCTATACCCCTCCCTGTCTGGGATTTCTGCCATTCTTTCCCTGTTCTCTGAAACACCAGCTCAGATTTCCTCTGACTCGCTCCTTCCATACTGTCTTTCAGGGACGCCTCAAAACGGTTTGACTGCAATTTTGGTAATCTTTACCCTCCCCACTTGTTTTCCTTGCCTTGGAGCCTAGTCAGGATGTGAAGATATTTATTTTATCCTCACGACATGTGAGACGCCATATTAGGACAAATTGTATTGAATCACGACTGTGCACTGTGTTCGGACATGACTTTCAAATCATGAGTGCGTGTGGAGATCTGCAGTAATTGTATACAAGGCAGAAACCGGCTGTGCATTTGATTCTGTGTTGAAGAGAAAGCCCCTTGGGTTGTAACCCACCAAAGGAGATTATCTTTTCAGATGAAGTTTATTATTTTTTCTCTGAGGTTAATTTTTCCTGCTGGAAATTAAACTTACAATTGATTTTTTTCACCAGATGATGACAATGTTGATATATTAATCTCAGCACATTCCACACACAGAGCAAGTGTATCTCATTGGCAGTTCATATGTTTGCAGATCACTCTCCCCTTGGCTTGGTGTCAGACTCCGCCTCTGTTAAGCACTCCGAGACGCGACCTGGCTTAAAGAGTTGTATGTTTATGCAAGTTGATGTTGTTGCTTCTCACATTTGCTCTTCAAAAATACTGGGCTCGGGAACAACAATTGAGGCAAGCAAGCGGAAAAATAAGTTTTGAAATATACATTCGCCTGCAAAATATAGTTATTTCACCTGACAATATATTCTGTAAAGTGCAATGAGACATCCCAATGAAGTTATAAGGCACTATATCAAGAGCAAGAATTATTATTATTATTATTATTATTATCATCGCTATCTTACTTCTGACACTGGTTATGTACGGATTCCCTCAAAAGTGTAAGTAACCTCCCCAATTTGCACAACCTACATAGCAGATTAGTTCTGGACTATCATTGCTACCCCATATCCCTGACCAGGAACGCCCCACTTCACCACTGCCCCTTACCCAAGGTGCAATAAGAAATGCCAAGATTGTTATCATTATTACTTGAACCATTTTTCATAAGTGCAAGGAAACAGAATTCACACCTGCAGATGGTGATTGACAATAAATATAAAATACAATACTTTGTTAGCATTCACTAACGATTTTCTTGTTCAATCCAGATAAACGTAAACATGTAATGACCAAAGTTAACAAATAATCCTGTGTTAAACTGGATTATATTTCACAATTTGCAATAACAATAACACCAATTGACATTGGGCAAGATCTCCACCGAGGAAATGCTAGTTCTCAAAGGCATAATTTGTCCTTCATCATCTGGAATCACAATTCTTTGAGTATAAGAAGTGTGAGGTCGGCATTTTCCATTCCAACTGTGCACAAAACTTGCTTTATGTGGTGAAAAAATGCATGCTTCCTCGTTGTGGTTCTCCAACATTTAAGATCCGCTGTCTTTTTATTTTAATGTTTATTTTCAGGTTACATGCATGCTTTCAAAATATTACATCGAACTTTGATTTTCTGATACACATCTTTAGTCACTGTACACTTGGATATTTCTCTTTGTTTCTCTATTCCTTAGAATTACGGGTCATGGAATTGGTTTTGATGCTGAGGTAGCACAGCAGAAATGATCAATCAAGGCTGAGTCTGCATTCACATATTCTTCAGTTGATGGAATAATAATAGCTCGGAGACACTATCCCTCATGAAAAGCAAGACATGAATGCAACTTGCTGCTGTTGTTTTTTAAAAAGCTTCATGAATCTGGCGAGAAGAAAGCAGAGACAATCTGCTTGATTGAGAAGCGATGTTTCCACAGAGTTGAGCTGACACTAAAGTCACATGATTGGCAACTGAAAGTCGGAATAGAATTATTCAAACGCCTGGTTTGTGTGCTTCTTCTACAGCCAGGCTGCTTGTTATTATTAGAGGGCACAACTGATAACAGATCAGCCAGTCTGGGTGGTTTCCAATAAAAACATTAAATTGGAATTCAACTGGGGGGCGTCCAAATATGCTGGACAGTTGATTCCTGCATATGTAGACACAATAATGCTCGTTCACTGAGAGCAAGCATTATTCATAACCATTTACTGTAAATCATATAAGCGATTTACCTGATGGGTAGGATGGTCCAAATGGGACATCGAACGAGAAGCTTTCCAAGCATTGGGAACCTCGCTAAACCAAATTTCATTGGCAGTGTTGACCTCCAATAATACACCCAATTTGTTTACTGGATTTACTTTGTCCTGTGCACCAAATATGGGCAAGACAGCAAAGGGGACCTTGATGATGCTCCCCTTTCCCCCCAAGGGATAGCCACCAATGGAAATTTATCTCTGTAATTTGAGTTGGAAATACAACTCCAGTATTATTAGTATTTAATTCAATAATTGTATCCTGTTTTGGAAACACTATATTTATTGTAAGAAAATTTTTGACAACCCCAAATTTTTAGAATATTTTAGAAAATAGTCGCATCCCTAACTAATCTGTCAAGACAGTTTTGGGGCTCAGTTGGGTGTCTGAAGTTTGCTAAGCACATGACAATGCTTAACAGTATCGAAAGCAAACTGAGTACTGAGTTCCATGCATAAACCTACACTTGGGCAATTCTGTGTTTGAAATAGAATGTGATTTCTATCCCTTGAACAATGCTTCCCTGTCATTTAATTCAGGAGAGCATCAGGTGCGGGTTGGCAAAACAATAACAACAAATTACACTTTTATAGCGCATTTCACGTTGGCACTTGACAGTGAGGCATTTGGACTCGAGCAGGGGATTGTGGTCAGGAGTGATGGAGGGCAGGGAGGATAGGAGGGTTACCGAAGGCACAATCCAAGAGGAGAATCATGAGACGTGCCGTATAGGAGGAGGAGGGTGGAGTCCTGTAGCTCAGTGGTTAGAGCACTCGCTTTGCAAGTGAGAGACCTGAGTTCAATTCCAGGCAGAGGGCGAAACCTTGGGCAAGTTTCCTTACTCCACACAGAGCCTAATAATAATCCTCCAAAACCAAAAACAATAATAAATTGGTCATTTTCAATCTACGACTGTTTGTGGGACATTGCTGTGCGCAATTGGCTGCCGCGTTCGCCCACAAATATACAGTCAATTCACTTTACAGTGTGTTCTGTGAAGCGCTTTGGGACGTCCTCCCGACGTGAAAAGCGCTATATCAAAATGCAAGGATTATTATTATTATTATTATTATAGGAGAGGCGAAGCAACTGTGGGATTGAGTTACAAAAGATGGGGAATGAGATGCTGAAGGCCCGGCCGCCAATGATGGGGCAGGCCATTTGTGGAACATGGAACAGGCCTGCTGAGTAGAGGGAGCAGGCAAGTTGAGATCAAGTTAGCAGGTCACAGAGATAGGAAGGAGCATGGTCGTTGAGGGTTTTGAAGGCAAGGTCAAGGATTGAAAAGGACCAATTTATTATTGTTTTGTTTTCGAGGGATTATTATTAGGTGTGTGGAGAAAGGAAACTTGCCCAAGGTTTCGCCCTGTCTGGAATTGAACCCACGTGTCTCGCTAGCAAGGTGAGTGCTCTAACCACTGAGCTACAGGACTCCTTATGATGACTGTTATGAAGGGGATGGGAACAGTACCAGTGGATAGGGAGTGGTTGATGAGATCTGTGAGTAAAGGGGCAAGGAGACGGAGCTGGGAGGTAAGGAGAGGGGTACTGATGGGATTGAGGTGGCGAGTTTCATGTGGGTCAAAATGGTGTTGAGGGAGGAGGGGAAGACAGGTTCAATGGTGTGGAGAGAGGGATGGGTAGGGAGTGGGTGTATGGGGGAGATGAGGATGTGTAGCGGTTGGGAGGGCAGAAATCGGAGCGGATCCTCTCGATTTTATTTCAAGGAAGTCCAGCATTTCCTCTCAGTTGGAGGAGAGGATGGCTGAGGCGTGAGAGGGTGGGTGGAGGATCCAGTTGTTGTTGGAGAAGGGGAGCCTGGCTATCTTGGAGCAGGAGGATGACTTAGCGAGGTGAGGGCGGTGTGGTAAGGTTGGTTTTGGTCCAGCCCGCTCTGCCGATGGACCTTTAAATTAGATTTGAGCCAATTACGTTCACTGGCATGCGCCTGTGCCTTGAGGAAGCATATGTGGCTGGTTTACCAGGTTGGCTTCCATGAGTAGGACTGGGTTCGGGAGGTGAGGGGGTAAGTTGATCGAGAGCGGTGGAGATTCAGTTGTGGAGAAGAGTGACTGAGGATAGGTCAGTGGGGGAGGAAGTCAAGAGGGGATGGCGTTCAGATGACTCCAGGACAGTGGAAAGGGTATGCGGGGAGATTTTTTTCCAAGGACAGTTGGAGATGGCGGTGTGTTGGGTGTCGATGGGGAGAGGGATTGAGGAGTTAATGACAGTGAAGTAATGATCTGAGATGGATTTGTCAGTGACGGTGAGGTACAAGATACTGAGGCCCCCGGTAATCATCAGATCAAGTGGGTAGCCATGGACGTGGGTGGCAGAGTGGATGTGGAAGGAAAAGTTGGGAAAGAAGTCAATGCTTCATTTAATATACTGTAAAGTGAATTGACGGTACATTTTTCACTCAAAGGGAAGTGGAAATCTGGAATTCTCTCCTCCAAAAGGCCATGGCTGTTAGATCCATTAACATTATCCAAATGAGGTGGATAGATATTTGATATATCAGGCTGTCAAGGGATATGGGGCAAGGACAGATAATTGGAGTTGAGGTACAGATGAACCATGATCTTGTAAAATGGTGGAACAGGCTTGACGGTCTGAATAGCCTGCTCCGGTTCCTATTTGTCTATGTTATGGTCTCAAACTCAAAACCTCCTGCCTCAGAGTCTAAATCTCCGTCTCGTTACCACTCATGATATCTTCAATCCAGTCCAGGTACTTGCTGACGTCTGTGTAGACGCTGTAAGACCCACATTCAAAGCCCCAGGAAACCACTCCCGCCACGTAGAACCGTCCTATTTGCTGAGGGTCCTGGAAGACATATGCTCCCCCGCCGTCCCCCTGACAGGTGTCACCCCCACCACGCCCCGGCTCTGGGCCAGCACAGAGCATGTTTTTGGTCAGGGCTGGGATCTGCTGGCCAGCAGCTCTCTGGGAGCACACCTCGCTGCCCACCACAGGGACAGCAGTGAACATCAGCCTCTCGCTCTCCGCCCATTGATCTGTCTCGCCAAATCCTGGCACAAAACCTACACGGCCTGGAGCGAGGGCAAAGCGAGGGTCCCGGCCGGGCAGGCAGACGGGGGAGAGGAAGGGGCCTATTGGCAGCCGGTTACGGAGCCGCACGAGGGCCAAGTCGTGTTGGAAGCCATGCCGCTGGCTAAGACCCGCCGAGCGGGAGAATCCCGGGTGGATGTGTATCTGTGCCGATTCTGCCATGGTCCACTCTTCCCACCGGCTCTGCTCCACGCCGCCAGCCCACACACGGACCACTGCCGCCGGCTCCACACATGCAGCGCTTGTGAGCAGCCAGAGGTCAGTCAGCAGAGCCCCCCCGCACACCACCGTCTGCAAATGCACGTGCCATGGGAAGGAGCCACGGGCAGCCGGGGAACCTCCCACTATCCTCTGTACCAGGGCTGGGGGTGAGCGGGGCAGCCCACATACTGTGACAGGGCGAGAGAGAAAGGGAGAGAGACTGTAAGAGAGAGAGAAAGAGAGATTTAAAGGGAGACTGGGAAAAAGACTGAGGCCATGGAGACAGAGACAGACAAAGAGAGACTGTTGTAGGCAACATTGACAACCTCGTGTGAGAGACAGTGTGACAGGGAGAGAAGGAGAGAGAGGGGGAGGGGGAGAGGGCCAAAGGGAGAGAATGAGAAAGGATGAGAGAAAGCTTGTGAGAGGAAAAGAGTGAGAGGGTGTGTGAGAGAGAGGGTGTGTGAGGTACTGTGTAAGGTACTTTTCAGAACTCTGCAGCTCGTGTACTGTCCCACACCAGGCTTCGGGACCACATCACTCCCACCCTCGCCCTCGCCCTCACCCTCACCCTCGCCCTCACTCGCCTCCACTGGCTCCCCATCCCCCAGAGGATCGATTTCAAGATGCTCATCCTCACCCACAAGGCCATTCACGGCCTCGCTCCCTCCTACCTCTCCGACCTACTATCCCCCCACGTACACCCCGTACCCTCCATCCCTCTGGCTCCGGTCGGCCCCACATCCCCCGCCCCAATCGCCCGACCATCAGTGGCCTTCAGCCTCTCAGCCCCGAGGCTCTGGAACTCTATCCCCAGTGCCTTCACCGCCTCCTCCCTTTCCTCCTTCAAGGCCGGTCTCAAGACCTTTCTCTTTGACCTTCAGCCTTCAGCTCCCCTCTTGACTCTCTACCCCCTTCTCGCTCCCTCCCTTCCCTCCCCTCACCCTGACCATTCCCCCCTCCTCGCTCCCTCCCTTCCCCCCCTCACCCTGACCATTTCCCCCCAATGCTCGGGTCCTGACCCAACTGTACAGCGCCTTGGGACGTCCTCCCGACGTGAAAGGCGCCCTATAAATGGAATCTTGTTGTTGTTGTAGTTGTAAGATGGAGAAATAGAGATGGAATGAGAGGGAGAAAAAGGGAGAGAGGCAACGAGAGACAGGGAGGCAGATTGAGATGGAGAGAATGTGCGTGAGGGGAGAAAGAGTTTGAGAGGGCGAGAGGCATGAGAGAAAGAATGAGAGGAAGAGAGAGAAATTGAGTGAGAAATGGACATAGTGAGAGTGAGTAGCAGATAGTGTGACAGAAGGAGACAGCAAGAGAGAGTTAGAGACAGAGTAAGAGGGAGACACAGCATATGTGAAAGGGAAAGAATGTGTGTGTGTATGAGCGATGAAAAGAGACAGAGTGAGCGGGAGATAGAGGGAGAGGGAAAGAGACTAATGGAGCCAGTGTGACGGAGAGAGACAAATAGAGACACAATGGGAGGAAGACAGTGAAAAATAAAAACAAATTTAGAGGGAGCGATGGGGTAGAATGTGCGAGAGTCGGAGATACAAATAGAGACAGAGGGAGAGAGAATTGAGTATTAGAGAGAGAGAGATAAATGGAGAGAGAGTGAAAGAGAGTGAGCGGACAGGGAGTGCGAGAAGGAGTGAGACAAATAGAGATAGATTGAAAGGGAGCGAGACAAATAGAGACAGAGAATGGGAGGGAGCGAGAAATAGAGAGAGAGAGGACTAGGGACAGTGAGAGGGAGAGTAGCATATAGTGTGTGAGAGAGAAAAACGGAAAGAGAAAGAGGTGAGAGTGGGAGAGAAGTAAAGAGATGGAAAGATGGAAAGAAGATGGATGGAGCGAAAGTGAGACACAAATAGAGAGAGTGAGGAAAAGAGAGCGTGAGAATAAAATAATAATAATAATCCTTGCACTTGATATAGCGCTTTTCACGTCGGGAGGACATCCCAAAGCGCTTCACAGAACACACTGTAAAGTGAATTGACTGTATATCTGTGGGCAAACGCGGCAGCCAATTGCGCACAGCAATGTCCCACAAACAGTCGTAGATTGAAAATGACCAATTTATTATTGTTTTGTTTTGGAGGGATTATTATTAGGCTCTGTGTGGAGTAAGGAAACTTGGTCAAGGTTTCGCCCTCTGCCTGGAAATGAACTCAGGTCTCTCGCTTGCAAAGCGAGTGCTCTAACCACTGAGCTACAGGACTCCAGAGAATAAAAGAGAATGGGAGCAATGGAAAGTTGGAGATGGATGGAGATGTTTGGAGCAAGAGAGCTTAACAGTGTGAGAGAGGAGAGATAGTTGGACAAAGAGAGAGATGGATGGAGAGAGAAGAATGGAGACAGAAGTAGAGAGATGGGGAGAGAGGTGGAGAATAATAATAATAATCCTTGCATTTGATATAGCGCTTTTCACGTCGGGAGGATGTCCCTAAGCTCTTTACAGAACACACTGTAAAGTGAATTGACTGTATATTTGTGGGCGAAAGCGGCAGTCAATTGCGCACAGCAATGTCCCACAAACAGTTGTAGATTGAAAATGACCAATTTATTATTGTTTTGGGTTTTTTGGAGGGATTATTATTAGGCTCTGTGAGGATTAAGTAAACTTGACCAAGGTTTCGCCCTCTGCCTGGAATTGAACCCAGGTCTCTCACTTGCAAAGCGAGTGCTCTAACCACTGAGCTACAGGGCTCCACAAAGAGAAAGAGGTGAAGAGAGAGACATAGGGAGAGAGATGGAGAGAGGTGGATAGAGAGAGGTGGAGAGGGAGAGATATGGAGAGAAGGATATGGAGAGAAAGAGAGGTGGACAGAGGTGGAGAGACAGATGCAGATGTATAGTTATGGAGAGAGATATTGAAAGATGGAGAGAGAGAGATACAGAGTTGGAGGGAGATGATGAGAGAGATGTAGATAGATTCATCCACAAATATACAATGGACAAGTGCAGCAAACCAAAGAGCTGACACAGAAAGAGAAGAGCGAAGCAGAGGATAGATATAGGGAGAGATGTCGCGTTTCACCCACAAATATACGGTCAATTCACTTTACAGTATATTCTGTGAAGTGCTTTGAGACGTCGAGAAGACGTGAAAAGCGCTATATTAGATGCAAAGATTATTATTACTATTTCTATAGATGGGGAGATATGGAGCGAGATATAGAGGAAGAGATGGAGAGAAGTGGAGAGAGAGGTGGAGGAGAGATATGGAGGGAGAGATATAGAGAATGGTGGAGACATCTCACTTGGCTCACAGGTAGGAAGTCTATCACCTCGTTCCTGGTTCATCCATTTGCCATTTGCTTTGCACTCGTACATTCCTGTGACAGGTAAAGAACAGTGAGCTCTCAGACCAGGCTGACACTCCAGCGCAGGACTGGGGGCAGAGACAGAGAGACAGAGAGACACAGTCCGAGACATGGACAGAGACATAGAGAAACAGAGAGTGCGAGAGAGTATATGTGAGAGAGAGAGAGAGAGAGAGCGAGAGAGAGAGCGATACATTGTCAGAGACACCATCCGTCAGGTGAGATGTTAAGCTTCACTTCCCTCTGTGCCTTGTTCAGGGCATATGTTAAAGATCTCCCGCGGTTGGGGGGTGGGGAAGGATGGGAGAGTTTCTCTCTCTCTCAATCTATCGCTCTCAGTCTCACTCACTCTCAGTCTCTCTTGCTCTCAGTCTCACTTGTTCACAATCTTCCTCTCTCTCTCCCCCACTTTCTCTTTCCCTTTCAGTCTACCTCTCTCTCTCTCTCTCTCCCGGAGTCGCGCCCCGACAGATAAAACTGCTTGCTTCACAGCTGCTTGAGGGGATATTTCTGTGCGCAACTGGGGGCTGCCACATTAAACACACAGTCACTACACTTTACATTGAGTCCTGTGAATCACTTTGAGATGTATTCTTCGACGCACCTTCGTTCACTCTCCTATCACTACCCTCCCTGCCGTCCAGCTCTCCTGATCCCAACCTCCAGCTCATGTCCAAATTCCTTACTGCCCAGTGTTTTGGGACGTCCTCCTGACATGAACGGTGCTATACAATTGTATTTTGTTGTTGTTACTCTTGGGTGAAAGGCGTGGCGTTAGTAACACTCATTACTGACCACAGTTCCTCACCCCTGCCCACCCTCCCCACCAACCCCCAGCCCTCATTTCCCAGCCCTGGCCCTCATTCCCCAGCCCCCGGCCCTCATTCCCCAGCCCCCAGCCCCTGGCCCTCATTCCCCAGCCCTGAGCCCCCGGCACTCATTCCCCAGCCCCGGCCCCCGGCCCTCCTCACCATTCTCTGGACTGGACAGAGAATAGTATTCTGAGTCACATGTGAATGTGATGCGAGATTTCCACCATGTGCCAGGCTCTGTGAGGAAGGTGAACTGTCCGTTTTCTATGGAGCTCGGGCTTCCGCAGTCAACCACTGTAAAATATTTATCATGTTGTTGTTCAATAAAATGCAAATAACTCAACCCTGTCTTAACTTGTTGGGTCCCATAGTTCAGTGGCTGGAGCACCAACCAAGCAATTGGTAGGACTAGTTTTCAAAAGAACCAGAGGCGATGAGTAGATTTGTTTTTCACACAATGATTTGTTTGGATCTGGAATGCATTGTTTGGAGGAAGCCGATTCAATAACAAGAGAGAAGTAGATAGATATTTGGGGTGGACAAATTTTCAGGGCTATAGGGAGAGTGCAGGGAAACAAGATTAATTTGGACTGCTCTTCCAAAGAGTTGATGGGACGAATGGCCTCATTCTGTGCTGTTTATGATTCTATGATCCTATGACTTGGGTTCAGTTCTCGGGCAGTGCAAAATCGTAGGCAAGTTTCCTTTCTCCACACACCTCTCTTTACCTAGCAGTAAGTAGGAACCTGCTTGTTAGTCGATCAGCGGATAAAATAATAATACTAATAATAATTTGGTCACTCAATCCCGAACTGTTAGTGGGACAGTGCTTTGTGCAATTGGCTGCCGCATTTCGCTCACAAAACACAGTTAACAGTGTATTCTGTGAAGTGCTCTGAAATGCCTCAGAAATGTGATAAGGCACTATATCACATGCAAGGATTATTATTATGACTACCATCATGATGTCAATATTACAACCACATTGATGTGTTTATCCACAAAACTTGGAAATGTAGTACACAATGGAGAGGATAATAGGAGGACATAGACAGGCGGATGAAACGGGCAGACACGCGGCAGATGAAATTTAACTCAGATAATTGTGAAGTGATGCATTTTGGGAGGAGGAATGATGAGAGGCAATAATATAAGGTCATTGATGTAATTTGAAAAGGGAAGCAGAGACCTGGGAGATCACACACACAAATCTTTGAAGGTGGCAGAACAAGATGGAAAGCTGGAAAAAAGCATATCCTTTATAAACAGAGACATAACATATAAGACAAGGAAATTATTTTGAACCTTTACAAATGTCTAGTTAGGTCTCAGCTGGCGTATTGTGCCTAATTCTGAGCAAAACACTTTCGGGAAGATGTCAAGCCCTTGGAGAGGGTGCAGAAGAGATTTACAAGAATGATACCAGTTGAGAGACTAGAGAGCTAGGATTGTTCTCCTTGGAGCAGAGGAACTTGAGTAGACATTCAATAGAGGTGTTCAAAATTATGATGGATTTTGATGAAGTAGTTTGGGAGAAACTATTTCCTCTGGCAGTAACCATAGGACACAGATTCAAGATAATTGGTGGAAGAACTAGAGGAGAGATATGGAAACATGTTTTTTATCCAGAGAGTTGCTATGGTCTGGAATATATTGCCTGAAAGGGTGGCGGAAGCAGAATCGGTAATAACTTTCAAGAACGCATTGGATACATATTTGTAAAAGAATAATGTGCTATGGAATAATGTACTTAATAATAAGGTCTATGGAGTACGTTAAAGATCTCCTATGGCATTATTGGAAAAAAGAAGACATTTTCTCTCTCTCCTACTGTCCTTGGTCGACAATTCCCTAAAATGTGAGACTTCTCGATGAAACAATAAGCTACTATACCAAATCATATAATCATAGAAATATACAACACATAAGGAGACCATGATTGAATAGGCTTCCTCCACCCTTTCAGGCAATGCTTTTTAGACCTGAGCAACTCGCTGTATAAAAGAAATATCCTCACCTCCCCTCTGTTTCTTTTAACAACTATTTTAAATCGGTTACCGACCCTCCTGCCAGTGGGAATAGTTTCTCCGTGTTCACCGTATCAAATCCCCTCATAATTTTGAAAACTTCTATTAAGTCTCCTCTGAAACTTCTCTGCTCCAAGGAGAATAACTCTCGCTACTCTCGCCTCTCCTGATAACTGAAGTCCCTCATTCCTGGTACCATCCTGGGAAATCTCCTTTGCACCCTCTCCAATGCCTTGACATCCTTCTTAAAGTGTGGGGCCCAGAACTGAACCCAGTCTCGAGCTGAGGCCTAACCAGTGTTTATAAAGGTTTACTATAACTTCCTGACTTGTGTATTCTATGCCCTATTCATAAAGCCTCGTATCCCGGATGCTTTTTTTAAGAGCGGTTCATCAACAATGACAAATGTTGTTGTTATTGTTACTGTAATTGTTATTATCAGTAAGGTTATGTTTTCTCCTCCAAAGAAGTCATCCACAATAATCCCTCAATAATAATAATAATAATAATAATTTGGTCACTCACATGGCTGTTTGTGGGACTTCACAGTGCGCAATTCACTGCCACGTTTTGCCCACAAAATATACAGTCACTACCCTTTACAATATATTCTGCAATGCGCTTTGAGACACCTCGTAGATGTGATAAGGTGTGGTAGGAAGTGCAAGGCCTGCATCAAATGAAAGGATTATTATTAAAATTTCTTGTTCGCAGCACAGCTGTTTAAGGGCCGTCACTGTGCCCAATTGGCTGCCGTGTTTCGCATAATAGCACACAGTTATGGCATGTTATAGTGTATCTTGTGAAGCGCTTTAAAATGTGGCAATGTTATCATAAGATGCTGTATCAAATGCAAAGATGATTATTGTTGTTAAAGGACTAACAGAGAAGCCAGGTGGCTAGTGAAAAGCTGAGGCTGCTTTAACAGGTTTAACGTTATTGAGTGTTTCCTGTCCCACCTTGTGTGCTCGGTGAGGAGCTGATGCTCCTACCAGCAATCATGTTATTAAATAATTATTAAATTGTGGTAATTAACAATAATTATCTTTGCAATTTATATACCACTTGATCAGGTCATCTTAACGTCTAAATGTGCTTCACAGAATGTACTGTAAAGTAAATTAACGTTGCATTTTTGTGGGAGAAACACAGCAGCCAATTGCACAGAGCAGTGTCCCACAAACATTTGTGGATGGACTGACCAAATTTTTTATTTTATTTACTGATTCCTTCTTTATGGAGTATTACCCCTGCAACGGATTGTTAACACCAGAAAAGCAATCCGCCAATCAATAAACATCGGGGTTCTTATCTACTGCTAGGTAAACAAAGTTGTGTGTGTGTCATAAGGAAACTTGCCTGAGAATTAAACATGTATTATTAAGCCCTCTGAGATGCTGCCTTGCACTATAGAAATGCAAGTTGTTTTTGTTGCATTAACATTGTGTTTTACCGTCACATGTTCTGGCGTCCGGAAGAAGGTGGTAACCATGCTGACACCGACAAACAAATCCACCAATATAATTGTGACAATGGTGATCACAAGGAGATTCACTCACAGCTGCGCATTCATCAATATCTGAGGAAAGAGAGAGTGTGTATGTGCGTCTGTGAGAGAGTATGTGTGAGAGAGTGAAAAAGTATGCATGAGGGAATGTGTGAAATAGTTTGTGAGAGAAAGTGCGTGTGAGAAAGTGAGATTTAGAGAGATTGAGAGAGAGCATGTACAAGAAAGGGAGAGAGACTGTGTAAGGTAGAGAGTGTGTGTGAGAGAGTGTGTGTGAGACATTGTGTGTGATAGAATGTGTGTATATATGAAAGAGAGTGAGAATTTGTGAGAGATTGAGAGAGCGTTTGTGAGAGAATGAGAGATTTAGTGTGAGAGAAAGTGATAGGGAGAGAGTGTGAGAGAAAGAATATGTGTGTGAGACAGTGTGTGAGATAGTTTCTATGTGAGAGTGTGTGTATGAGAGTGTGTGCGAGGGAGCAGGTGTGAGACAGTGTGTGTGCGAAAGTGTGGCTGAGTGAGTGTGTGAGAGTAACATTGAGAGAGAGCACATGAGAGTGAGAGATTGTGTGAAAAAAGAGTATGCGTGAGAGAGAGAGTGCATATGTGTAAGAGTGTGTGTGAGAGATTGTGACTGGTACAATGTATGTATATGTGAGATAAGAGTTTATTTATGAGAAATAGATTGAGACAGTTGCGTGAGAGAGAATAAGAGACGGTTAGCGTGAGAGAAAGTGAGAGAGGGTATATGTGTGTGAAAGAGAGTGTGTGGGAGAGAGTGCGTGTGTGTGAGTGTGTATGTATGAGAGTATGTGAGAGAATATGTGTGCGTGTGAGAGTGTGTGTTTGAGAGAGAGTGTGTGAGAAAGTGTGTGTGATATAGTGTGAGAGTATGAAATAAAAATGTGGATGAGAGAGAGTGTATGAGAGTGTGTGTATGAGAAAGTGTGTGAGAGAGAGAGACCATGTGAGTGTGTAAATCTGAGTGTGAGAGAGAGTGGGAGTATGAGAGATAGAAAGTGTGAGAGAGAGTGTGAGAGCGCATGTGAGAGAGGTCAGGTTATTAAGGGATATGGGGTAAAGGCTGGTATTTGGAGTTTGAGAGCGCATGTGTGAGAGTGAGAGATTGTGTGTGAAAAAAAGCGTATGTGTGAGAGAGGGCAGAATGGCCTAGTCCGGTTCCTATATTGGCACACAATTTATAATTATAATAATCCTTGAATTTGAAATAGTGCCTTATCTCATTTTCAAAATGTCTTTCTCAAAGTGTAGTGACTGTGTATTTTGTAGGCGAAATGAGAGCAGTGTCCCACAAACAGTCGTGGATTTTTTGGGGGTTATTACCGTAAAGCCATCCACCAATCAACTAGCAATTGGGTTGCTACTTCACTGCTAGAGAAACAGATGTGTGTGGAGTGAGCTTCCACTCTGCTCTGAATCCAATCCAAGTCCTCTCGCTTGTGAGGTGAGTGCTCTAACCACAGTACTACAGAATTCCACAAGGCAGCTAACGAGGACTGGACTCCAACCAGAATTGTTCCAGCCCTAAGTGCTAATTAGGCACCACTTAATGAATGCATATAGTATATAGAATGGATGCTGGAAGGAGAAGGGGAGTTCAGAGAAGACTGTTGTAAACAACATTAGCTTCCTTATAAAAATTAATGTTTCTTTTGTGTCATTAAACCACTGGTGCAAGTTTTGTTTCCCAGATGTCATGTATGTCCTAGTACAGTCAGATATAAGGCATTGGATGAAGTGGGGACTGCGGGCACTGTAAACTTTATAAAGGGAATTTGTTGCTGTTATTGTTGTTCATAGAATCCTTCAGCACTGATGTAGGCCATTCAACCCATCGTGTCTGTGTCAGCTCTTTGAGAGAGCTAACAGCTACTCTACTTTTCCCCAATGCACATTTTTCCATTATAAGGAAAAGGAAAAAAAATATCTATTCAATTACGTGAAACAGAGAGGGGATGAGAGTGAATTACAGTGAGAGTACGAGTAAGAAAAGAGAATGGGAGGGTAAGTAATAGAGTGTGTGAGAGATGAAGTGTTTGAGAGAGAGTGTGGAGAGAGAGAGTGTGAGAGAGAAAGGGTGTGTGAGAGAAAGGGTGTGTGAGAGTGTGTAAGAGAGTGAGAGTGTGTGCAAGGGAGAGAGTGAGTGAGAATAATAATTTGAGAGCGCGTGAGAGAATGTGTGAAAGTGTGAAAGACAGTAAGAGAAATAGTGTGTGACAGAGTGTGTGAGGGAGAGAAATTGTGTGTGAGAGAGACACAACGAGAGTAAGAGAGTGAGAGTGAGAGACACAGTGAGAGAGTGAGAAGGTTGTGGCTAATCGGTTGGGGTTGACTTGAGCATTGGAAATTCTTACCGACAGCTTGGTAATATAAAACAAATCCTCGTCGGGAGTCCGGATGGGAGGTGGTAAAGTGAGCTTGAATTCTAAGCTCAGAGCTGTCCGACCCTCCTCTCCCTGTGTTGGGGGAGTGGAAGCGAACAGATGTGCCATTTCCACAAAATCTGCCAAGTCTGTGACGGTCTGCGAAGATCTTAATGAGAGAGAGCAAGAGAGTGAGTGCTGAGAGAAAATGTCTGTGAGGGAGAGTGTGTGTGAGATAGAGAGAGAGTATATGTGAGACAGGATTTGTGAGAGAGGGGGAGTGTAAGAATGAGAGGGTAGTTGAGAAAGTGGGAAACAAAGAGTGTGTGACGGAGACAGTGTGAGAGTGAGCGAGTGTGTGAGTGTGCAAGATAGTGTGTGAACATGTAAGACAAATAGAGAGTATGTGAGTGCAATAGAGAGATTGTGATGGAGAGAGTGAGTGTCAGAGTGATAAAGAGAGTGTATGATAGAGAGAGTATGAGAGTGTGATAGAGAGAGTATGAGAGTGTAATAGAGAGAGTATGAGAGTGTGATAGAGAGAGTATGAGAGTGTGATAGAGAGAGTGTGATCGTGATAGAGAGTGTGATAGAGAGTATGAGAGTGTGCTAGTGAAAATGTGATAAAGAGAGTGTGATAGTGAGAGGGTGAGAGTGTGATAGTGAGAGTGTGAGAGTATGATAGAGAGAGGATGATAGTGAGAGTGTGATAGAGAGAGTATGAGGGTGTGATAGAGAGAGTGAAATAGAGAGAGTGAAATAGAGAGAATATGAGAGTGGGATAGAGAGAGTGGGATAGAGAGAGTGTGATAGTGAGAGTGTGGGAGTGTGATAGAGAGTGTGAAACAGAGAGATTGTGAGAGTGCGATAGAGAGAGTATGAGAGTGTGATAGAGTATGAGAGTGCGATAGAGAGAGTGTGAGAGTGTGATAGAGAGAGTGTGAGAGTGCGATAGAGAGAGTATGAGAGTGCGATAGAGAGAGTATGAGAGTGCGATAGAGAGAGTATGAGTGTGATAGAGAGAGTGTGAGAGTGTGATAGAGAGAGTATGAGAGTGTGATAGAGAGTGTGATAGAGAGAGTGTGATAGAGAGTGTGTGAGAGTGCAATAGAGAGAGTATGAGAGTGCGATAGAGAGAGTATGAGAGTGTGATAGAGAGAGTGTGATAGAGAGAGTGTGATAGAGAGAGTGTGATAGAGAGAGTGTGAGTGTGATAGTGAGTGTGAGAGTGTGATAAAGAGTGTGAGAGTGTGACAGAGAGAGTGTGACAGAGAGAGTGTGAGAGGTGATAGAGAGACTGTGAGAGTGTGATAGAGAGATTGTGATGGAGAGAGTGTGAGAGTGTGACAGTGATAGAGAGAGTGTGACAGAGAGAGTGTGACAGAGAGAGTGTGACAGAGAGAGTGTGACAGAGAGAGTGTGACAGAGAGAGTGTGACAGAGAGAGTGTGACAGAGAGAGTGTGATAGTGAGAGTGCGATAGTGAGAGTGTGGAAGAGAGCGTGTGATAGAGAGAATGTGAGAGTGCGATAGAGAGAGTATGAGTGTGATAGAGAGAGTGTGAGAGTGTGATAGAGAGAGTATGAGAGTGTGATAGAGAGAGTGTGATAGAGAGAGTGTGAGAGTGCAATAGAGAGAGTATGAGAGTGCGATAGAGAGAGTATGAGAGTGTGATAGAGAGAGTGTGATAGAGAGAGTGTGATAGAGAGAGTGTGATAGAGAGAGTGTGAGTGTGAGAGTGAGTGTGAGAGTGTGATAAAGAGTGTGAGAGTGTGACAGAGAGAGTGTGACAGAGAGATTGTGAGAGGTGATAGAGAGACTGTGAGAGTGTGATAGAGAGATTGTGATGGAGAGAGTGTGAGAGTGTGATAGTGATAGAGAGAGTGTGACAGAGAGAGTGTGACAGAGAGAGTGTGACAGAGAGAGTGTGACAGAGAGTGTGATAGTGAGAGTGCGATAGTGAGAGTGTGGAAGAGAGCGTGTGATAGAGAGAATGTGAGAGTGCGATAGAGAGAGTATGAGTGTGATAGAGAGACTGTGATAGAGAGAGTGTGATAGAGAGTGTGACAGAGTATGAGTGTGTGATAGAGAGAGTGTGATAGTGAGAGTATGAGAGTGTGATAGAGTGTGAGAGTGTAATGGAGAGAGTGTGAGAGTGCGATAGAGAGTGTGAGAGTGCGATAGAGAGAGTGTGAGAGTGCGATAGAGAGTATGAGAATGCGATAGTGAGACTGTGAGAGTGATAGAGTGTGACAGAGTATGAGTGTGTGATAGAGAGAGTGTGATAGTGAGAGTATGAAAGTGTGAGAGTGTGAGAGTGTGATGCAGAGAGTGTGAGAGTGCGATAGAGAGAGTGTGATAGAGAGTGTGAGAGTGTGATAGAGAGAATGCGATAGTGAGACTGTGAGAACGATAGAGAGAGTGTGGAAGAGAGAGTGTGAGAGTGCGATAGAGAGATTATGAGAGTGTGATAGAGAGAGTGTGATAGAGAGAGTGTGATAGAGAGAGTGTGATAGAGAGAGTGTGATAGAGAGAGTGTGATAGAGAGAGTGTGATAGAGAGAGTGTGATAGAGAGAGTGTGATAGAGAGAGTGTGACAGAGAGTGTGACAGTGAGAGTGTGATAGTGAGAGTGTGGAAGAGAGAGTGTGAGAGTTCGATAGAGAGATTATGAGAGTGTGATAGAGAGAGTGTGATAGAGAGAGTGTGATAGAGAGAGTGTGATAGAGAGTGTAACAGAGTATGAGTGTGTGACAGAGAGAGTGTGATAGTGAGAGTATGAGAGTGTGATAGAGAGTGAGAGTGTGATGGAGAGAGTGTGAGAGTGCGATAGAGAGAGTATGAGAGTGCGATAGAGAGAGTGTGAGAGTGCGATAGAGAGAGTATGAGAGTGCGATAAAAACAGTATGAGAGTGCGATAGAGAGTATGAGAGTGCGATAGAGAAAGTGTGAGTGTGATAGAGTATGAAAGTGTGATAGAGAGAGTGTGATAGAGAGAGTGTGATAGAGAGAGTGTGATAGAGAGAGTGTGATAGAGAGAGTGTGATAGAGAGAGTGTGATAGGGAATGTGTGATAGAGTGTGTGATAGAGTGTGATAGTGAAAGTGTGAGTGTGATAGAGAGTATGAGAGTGTGATAGTGAGTGTGAAAGAGAGAGTGTGACAGTGAGTGTGAGAGTGTGATAGAGAGTGTGATAGATTGTGTGATAGAGAGAGTATGAGTGTGTGATAGTGAGACTGTGAGAGTGTGATAGTGAGAGTGTGAGAGTGTGATAGAGAGAGGATGATAGTGAGAGTGTGATAGAGAGAGTATGAGGGTGTGATAGAGAGAGTGAAATAGAGAGAGTGAAATAGAGAGAATATGAGAGTGGGATAGAGAGAGTGGGATAGAGAGAGTGTGATAGTGAGAGTGTGGGAGTGTGATAGAGAGAGTGAAATAGAGAGAGTGTGAGAGTGCGATAGAGAGAGTATGAGAGTCTGATAGAGTATGAAAGTGCGATAGAGAGAGTGTGAGAGTGCGATAGAGAGAGTATGAGAGTGCGATAGAGAGAGTATGAGAGTGCGATAGAGAGAGTATGAGTGTGATAGAGAGAGTGTGAGAGTGTGATAGAGAGAGTATGAGAGTGTGATAGAGAGAGTGTGATAGAGAGAGTGTGAGAGTGCAATAGAGAGAGTATGAGAGTGTGATAGAGAGAGTGTGATAGAGAGAGTGTGATAGTGATAGAGAGAGTGTGATAGAGAGAGTGTGAGAGTGATAGAGAGTGTGAGAGTGATAGAGAGTGTGAGAGTGTGAGAGAGAGTGTGAGAGTGTGATAGAGAGAGTGTGATAGAGAGAGTGTGAGAGTGTGATAGAGAGAGTGTGAGAGTGTGATAGAGAGATTGTGATGGAGAGAGTGTGAGAGTGTGATAGTGATAGAGAGAGTGTGACAGAGAGAGTGTGACAGAGAGAGTGTGACAGAGAGAGTGTGACAGAGAGAGTGTGATAGTGAGAGTGCGATAGTGAGAGTGTGGAAGAGAGCGTGTGATAGAGAGAATGTGAGAGTGCGATAGAGAGAGTATGAGTGTGATAGAGAGAGTGTGATAGAGTGTGACAGAGTATGAGTGTGTGATAGAGAGAGTGTGATAGTGAGAGTATGAGAGTGTGATAGAGTG